TAAAAGAGAGGAGATAAACCACCGGATACCAAGACTTGCCTCAAAGTCAACATATTAAAATCAGAGAGGTATCAGCCCAAGAATAAACATACTAAGGAAATAGAGCTCAGAGCAGACCTCAGATATGCAAACCTAACAGAGTATACGGCAAAGCTGGCCTCATAAGTCAAGGGGGAAAGAACGGACAGTTTAGTAGATATTGGTGGAAGCGACTCATTTTTCAACTGAATAAAAATAAAACTGGATCTTCATGAAACACTATATACAATGGTAGATCAGTGGTAGATATCAGTTGGATTAAAAACCTAAATATGAAGGGCAAAATCATGAGGCCAAAAGAAAAAGGTGTGCATCTATGTGACATGAATCTTAAAGAACTTTATTCAATGAGCAACTTGAATTCATAAGCCAGAGGCATAAAACAAGAGATGAATCTAAATGCAGAAAAAGTAAGGCTCCATAATCAGGAAGGATATTACACTTATAACAGACAAATGACAAAACAGGATAATATATTTAAAATGTCTACAACCAACAAAGGATTAATGCCTAGAAGAAAGAACTTTACAAATCAACAAGAAAAAAATGGCAAATGCAATAGAAAAATAGGTAAAGGACATTAACAGGCAATAAACAGAAGAAACTCAGTGCACAAGCATATGAGGAAATGCTCAAATTCATTAACTATCAGAAAAATGCTAATTAACAAAAACCTATCATTTTCTATCAGACTGGCAAAATATTAGAAATCTGAGTAATGGCAAATTTGGCAGGAATAGAGAAATCCTCATGTAGGGCTGGCTAGACTGTGGCCCCACTGCTGTGGAGGACAACATGAAAGCATTTCCTCAAAATAAGCACATGTCTCCCTTTGACTGAATAGCAATTCTCCTCATGACTATATCCCCCCAAAATTCTTACACAGGGGGACATGTACAAGGTATTCCTCGTGACGGTATCAGTAGGATATGGGAGTTGGAGGCAACAAGTGATGGATGGATCTCTGCAAAACTAGATATACAGCATTAGACACCCTGGAGCACTTAGCAGGCAGAAGCTGTACTTTGAAAGTGACAGCGGACCATGGATGGTTCCTAATACAATGCTAATAGAGCAAAGAAACTGAAAAAAGACATAAAACCATCTCTATAACTTAAAAATATAGGTAGATAAAAGATATACATTATCTAAGAAAATAATTTTTTTTAAGATTTATTTAGTTATGCATACAAGAGCTGGGGTGTAAGCCAGAATGGGACACAGAACAGGCAAACTGACTGAAATATACTGAGGGGAGCAGTGGGGGAGACAGGAGAGGTCTGCTGTGCCATGTGGGTCACCTCCCTGGCTGGGGATTGAACTTGTGCTGCAGTGGCTGCAGATAGCCTCATAGTGCTGCGTATTAACCTCCTGCGCCACCAGGGAGGCCCCTCTAAGAAAATAATTTTAAAGGACACATAAGAATGGTGGCCAACAGGGAAAGAAAGAAGTAGGAGCTGGGGAAGGGAGTGAAAAAAAAAAAAAAAATGAAAGAATGAATGAATAAATGGAGGGGCCTGTGATGATAACATGCCCAAGCCAGGGAGGATGATTAATGCAATCCCTCTATTCTGCATGAGCTTGAAATAGAACATAAAGAAGAGGAGACTAAAAGTGCTATGCAAAGAAATGTGCATGTATTTCTCTGCTGTCATTCTCTCCCTGGTAGCTGGGCCAGTGGGAAAATACCAGTAGCTGACAGATAGTACTTTCAGCCCTGTGTTATACCCTACAGGCACTGCATGCCCTGAGAGGAATTTCAAGATACAAATTCAAGATACAAAAAGCAACAAATTTGGAAGTGTCCCCAAAATATTGCCCCTTCAAAACATTTCTGGCTCAATGATAAAAACAGTGACATTCAAATTCCCATCAAAACATTTTCATTTTCTGCAAAGGAAAATGCCAGACATTTGAAATCTCGATATTAAAGGTAGAAAAAAACATGCATTGCTCCTAAATTTACATCACATTGACTTCTCATTTTCAGAAGAATTTTGATTGTGGTATAAGCAGAAAAACTGTTGCAAAGCAATCAGACCCTAGGCAATAGTGCCACCTGTGGCTGAACAGCCCGGTAGGTGGGTGTGGGGTGAGACTGCAAGTCACTGCCACTGAGACAAGTACAACCACTCTGAGAGTGCAGGGGAGCTAAGGAATTGCATGGTATGAAAAGGCAGCCCATTCAATGCCAAAGGAGGTGAGGAAGCACCAACCTAGAACACTACCCTGATTCTGTCAGCTTGGAAATAAGTGAATGGAACCTCATTCAGGATAATAATACCCTAGAAAAATAATTTCTATCGAAAGCACTCCTGAAAAAGTGGCCAGTATGCTTTAACCCACGTTTTACTGTCTGGTTTGCTAAATGAAGGGTAAGTGACTGAAGAAGCATCAGAGACTAAAGGCAGCCAACTCTAATCTCTGGGAACCGGATGCCAAAAGCAAAATGTAGCAAGTGTTTATGCTTTTCAAAATGGAACTTTTCGCATAATTCTTTTCCCAGGAAGGTAGAATATCCTTGCGGTTAAGCAAAGCCTTTAGCATTAGACAGAACTGAGATTAAATCATGTCTCGATCTTACTAGCCTCCATTTCCTAATCTACAAAGTAGGAAAGTAGGTCAAAAGTGCCTATCTCACAGAGTGTTGCAAGTATTAAATGTGCTAATGTGCATAAAACATGCTTGGAACACGGAGGTCTATAAATGTTACCTATTAATAGCTATTATTGCAAAATACAGGCTCTTTGTAGGCAATGTAAAATACAGACAAGTAGAAAGTCAGTGTCTCCTGATAAACTCAACCCTCTATTCTGAGTAAGAGCTTGATAATGTTATTTCCAAACTTTTTTTAATCATATCTACATGAGTCAAATAATTTATTTTACAAAATACATTCTTCTATAGCCTGATTAAAAAAAAAAACTCAATTAACAATGTGCTGTTCCTATTCTTTTTAAAGGCTACATAGTATTCTATAACATTTTTTTATCAACTTCCTATTGGACATTTGGATTGGACATTTGGATTTATCAACTTCCTATTGGACATTTACCAATGCCCCAGTGAACCTCTTGGTTATACAAACATCTTTTCACTTCAGTCTATTTCTTTAAGACAAATTTTTGAGTCAAAGGATATTCTCGTGTCAAAGTCTTTCAATACATGTATACCCAAAGGCCTTTAAAGAATGGTAGAACCTGCTGGCATGCCCACCATTAGAATCACAGCTGTCTTTCAAATCTATTGGCATACATCTTGTAGCAAGAGAAGCAGGTTGAAAAAGTCACAAGTTACAAGCAAACTTTTGGTTGGGGATTTCCATTCATCTGCATCTCATCCCCCACAGTTCTTATTATAGGAGTACAGTGTTCCAGGCTGGGGCATGGTGTGGGTATCCATCCTTTCCTATCATGGTGTGTTCGCTAATTTCCCTCTAGCAAACTATACTATCCCCATTTTATGCAGGGCTCTTGAAACTGTCAAAAAAGGGATATTGTTTTCCCCCATGGTTCTATACTAGACTCATTTGATTCTATTTTTCCTGGGAACCCAAATCTTCAAAAGAATTTGGCAAGGACTAAAGAATGTTTAGAGCTTTATCATTCTGCTACTATTATTCACAAGATCCTTTCCCATTCATTCCTGGATCTCCAGTTGCACTGTTCGTAAGGCTGTTTCTTCAGATATTTGAGCTACTTTGCAGTTACTCTACAGTTTTTCATATCCCTTCATTAGTATTACTAATGTTTTTTCCTATTGTTATTTAAACCCAAATTAGCCAGAGTGGATTTCAGATACTCTAAAATAATCCCACCTAGGTGGGGAAGGCGGGGCGGGTGTTGAATATGTTTTCTTGACTATTTACTTGAAACAAATTTTTCCTTGTTCAATTCCTGAGGTAAAACAAACAAGCATTTTCTCAGCCCCAAAGATCTCTTAACCTACCAATAGCAACCATTCCAAATTAGTTTATATTTTACATAAAACAGGTAAAACCTATATTTTGGAAAGAATAAAAGAAGGAAAACCTCTGTCCTATAATGAATTTCATATATAAAAAAAAGTCAAACAATCCAAAAAAGTTCACCCTTTTGTCCATGTGGAGAGCTACTGTTTTATAGATTTTTCTGACAGTGCTGCAATTCATGGTATGGCTATCTTTAAAGTTTTTCTAAGTGAATTTTACAAAGTAAATCTAAGGCCAAGGAACAGGATTTCCTCTGTTCCCTTGCAGCAAACCTGGAAGGCATTTGTTTTTTTCTCCTATGTACCAAGGAGATAATCACCCCAAACACTCCAGCAGTTGCAGTTTCGTTTTAATACCATCATATTTACAATGTTATAGGTGCCCTTGGAAATCACTGATTAACCAGAGCTTAGAGCCAGTAGAGGGGAAGAGTGCTGTGTATTCTACAGAGGTGGTCCAGGGTCACCATCACAGGGGAGTATTAGCAGAGTTTACCATCTCCACTCTTTCCTCTCCAAAGAGGCAACAATCAGCACAGACATACTAAGTGATTGCTTAAGATAGCTATTGCCTTTCCAGTCCTTGGAGTGAGACAATGAAGGAAGCAAAGTTAATTTTGGCATTCTCATAGAACAGGACTCTTGGGGAGCAGGATATTATTGGATTAAGTTACTTTTAAGCGGTGATTGGAGCTACATTCTTCAGAAGACCTGAGATTAACTGAGATAATGTACATGAAATGCTTTTGAAGTGTGATGGAATATATAAATTCAAGGTGTGATTACTGCCTTGCCAGTCAGGCCCACAGAATGAATCTCCTGGAGTCACTCACATGGGAAGTCAGGGTAGAAGATTCTCACTTGCACTGGGGGAAAACGGTGCAAACCCAACATGCCCACAGCACTTCTTGATGGTTCTACTGTGGAACAGCAACTTCAGGAAGCCCAACCCCAACTCCAGCTTCAGAAAATTACCCAAGCAACATACTTACACCCTTCACTCTGACTGTCTTTGTTCGAGTTGTAGACCTGGAAAACAGAAATAAACATTTATTTGTGTGCATTTTATACTGTCCTACAGGTATTCTGAACGAAATGATTCCCTTCTCCCATTCCCTACTTTGTGCCGTAAAATGGAAGGCAATTTTTGGCATCCAAATATGAATCCCTTCTATAATTATCTACTTCTCTGTATTTATTTCAACTGTTCTTCAGTGTGTATGCCTCAGAATCACCTGTGCCGCTTTACTGTAAAAAATAGCATATTCCTTCTTTCTTAGAAAAAAGCAAACTTATGTGGGTATGGAAGACATTTTTAAAAACAGGAGAAAAATTTTAAATTAGTTGCCAATCATTAGGTATTAATTGAGCACCAGGCAATGTGCTTAACAATTCATAAGAATTATCTCAAATAATCTACACAACAATTCTGGTGGGCAGGAACTGTTACTATCATTGTGTTACAAATGGAGAATGTGAGACTTAGCTTAGCGATGTTAACTAAGGTTTCATAGCTAGTAAGAGGCAAAGTTGGACAAGAATATAGCACATACTGTTAGTGTTAACACTGGAATTTGGGCCAATCATTTTTTACTTTATATAATTTTGCAAGTTTGAATGTTATAAAGGAAATATTAGTAATAAAAATCCTCCTATGATTTATAGAAATCATAAAAAGGGAAGTGCCCCAATGCAGAAAGAAGGAAAATGCCTCAATATGAAACAGACAATGACATATTACAAGAGTCAGTAAGTTTTTTCTGTAAAGGGCCAGATACTTAGTATTTTAGGCTCAGTGGGTCAGAAAGCAAAATAGATGGTATTATGCAGGTACAGTGAGAGAAAACGAATTTCCACAAAACTTTGCTGACAAAATTCAAAATGTAACAATTTTTCCTAAATATACATATACTATTCCTAGTAGGTAAGAATTCCTTTCATGGTTCTATAGCTCTTATCTTAGAGATCTTTGGCTCCATCTCTTTAGGGCTTAAATATGTGGTTTTCAACCAATAGTGGTCATCAGAATCACTTGGAATATCTTTTCCAAGGAGTATAATTTTTTGAAATACAGGTCTACTAATCAGAAGAACAGATTTGTTTTTTAAAGGGAGGATAACATTTAGCTTAATTAAGGTTCAAAGCTAGTATTTCCTATCATTAAGATAATTGCAAAAGTTCATCTGTAAATACCATATTTAGCTCCTTGGGCCATACAAAAAAGCTGGTGAGCTGGATTTGACCTGTGGGCCAGTTTGCCAATCCCTGATATGTTGACATCATTAAATAAGATAAAGTCACTGCATTAGAAAAAAAATCTTAGTGCCCAAATTTTTCATTGGTGATTATGATTCTGCTGTATGAAAAGGCAGAGGGTGAAGCTGGCAAATCATAACTTAAAACAAAAGTTCCTGATGTTGGGCCTCCCCTGGTGGCGCAGCGGTTGAGTGCTGGGCTGCGAGGCTACCCGCAGCCTCTGCAGCACTGGTTCGTTCCCCGGCTGCCGGCGGCAAGGGTTCCACAAAAAAAAAAAAAAAAAAAAAAGAAAGAAAAGGTTCCTGATGTTAAGAGTCAAAAGACTGTGATCCTGGCCTGGCTTTCATCATTGTTACTTTATTTTACTTAGCTTTAGTTTTTTTCATCTACAAAATGGGAGTGATAATAGTTATTCTGCCTGCTTCTCCCAGGGTTGCTAAGAGGACCAAATGAGATTGTGAAAGAGAAATATATTGAAACAGCACAAGACAAATGCAAAAGGTTTTGGGCTATGCTATAGGCGAAAGGCTGCTTGGAGTTCACAGGACTTGTGGGGAAGGAAGAGTAATCACAGAGTCTGGGTAGAGGCTGATACAGAGGCTGTGCATATGTCTGTCTGCACTAGAGGGAACATGGATGCCCTTGCTCCCTCAGCAATGCCTCCACCATCAATGCAAATGAAGAATCTAGATCATGGCTTTCAAACTGGGCCATGCAGAAGCCATAGAAGGACTACCAAAAGGTCTGGAAGAAAAGTGAGATTCCAGGTATCCAAACACCCCCACCCTTCCCTTTGTTTTTATTGGTTTTACCCATGTGACTATCAAACAAGGGCATACCAGCTTTAAAATACCTCTTTAAATGAGTGATTTCTAAAGTCACTTACAAGTTATTAATTTGTATATCCACACATGCATCCAACAAATATTTATTGTGTGTGGATAACAACCAAGTAATGTGCTAGGGGATACAGAGGAACAAGACAGCAATGATCACCACTCTCATGGAATTCACCAACTACTGAAGAAATAAACAGGTACACAGAATTGTAAGTACAATGGAGAAATTAAAAGAGGCTACTGTGGAGCTGGGGTGGAGAGGAGCAGCTTTGAAGAGCTGATATTTGCGAAGACGTGAATGACGAGAAAGGACCTCCTTGGGAAGATTAGGGGCCAGAGGCAACAGCAAGTGCAGGTCCTTGAGATGGAAATGGCACATTCTTTTGGATGTGATTGGCAATCAGTGCAAAGTAGAGTTTTAGAAGAGGCAAAGATGCAATCTTGCAAGGCCTTGTGAGCTGTGAGTGAAGTAAGTATCCTCATAAAAGCGAGCACCAGCGGTCCACACTGAATGGCATTCACTAACCTTGGAAAGTTGGGTTAAAGCAAGTGCAGGGAAGAGACCATATTTTGGCAATTATTTTTTTCAGCCAACCCTGATCTCTTCATTCCTCCCATTAAATTGAAACATCATATCCCAGAGAAACTTACTCCTATTTATAAAAAGCAAAATCTAGAAGGAATAGTGAAATGTAGGGTTTACTGCTTTCCCTAATTAGTTTGCAACAGATTACTTTCTGGCAAAGTGTCCTAGGTCTCAGGAGGTCAGTTCCTGGGACATGCAAGCATTTCCCCAATTGGAGAGGTGTGATCAATGAGCCAAAGGCACCAGAAACATGTGCCACACAATCCTCTGAGGAAAGACCATTAATCTCTGTCTAGTTTGGGTAAATGAGGCAAACAGAAAGAGTTCTGAAATGGAGCTAACAAACCATGCCCACCAGGATTGCGTGACTACATGGCCCAACAGGGAAGGCCAAGCTGAAGGAGCAGCCTCACCACCACACAGACCAGATGGCAGCACAGGAGAGGATCAAGCAGGAAGGGTTTTGTTCACTGCGCACTGAAGTACTGTGCACAATACAATAACATCTAATCCTTTTAACCATCATATGCATTAGAAACTCACATTAGTCCCATATTATACATATGGAACCTGAGGCCCAGACAGGTTACATAATTCACCAAGGACACAGAGCTGATAAGTAGTAGATCTTCCCTCTACAGGGATGTTCCAATCCTTTTACTTTACCAGGCAGTGGCAAATGCATACAACTATCAAGTTACACCAGTAGCCTACAGTTCATAAATACCTTCCATATTGGTAGAAACAAAGAGCATGAAATTTGACATTTGAAAAAAGTTCCAGGAAAACCTTTATCTACAGATCTCATAGTTGCCTACTAATGTCAGACTGAGCTTCAGACACAGGGCAATTTTCTGAAATAAAAGGTGTCTTTGGCTGTGCTTTTGTCTTATGTTTAGCAAAGTACCTAGATTAAATACTTTCAGAAAAGCCTCTCAGGAGCCTCTGTGTTAGCAGGACAGAACCTGACTTTGCAGTATCAATTCCATGAGTCACTGCACAATCCCTGAATTATGACTCCCTGTAAGATTGAATCAATTAATATACCTTCTCAGCAACTCAACCTAACTAAAGTCTACCCATCATGCTTAGCCAGAATACTCTAAGACCTGGCCACATTCAAGTTTCTTAGTCCTCTGGCTTTATAAACTTTGATGTAGGTATGCACTGGCACCTGCTAAATACTGTACACTAAGATTTGGGAAATATCCAAGCCAATTGAGTGCTTATTTTCAAGTGTAGGATTCTAGAGAATAGAAGCATATGTTTATCTTATTAGGGTCCATCTGAGAGTCATTGTGGAATAATTGCAGCAGCAATAATAAAATAATGATGATGACAAAAGCCTTGTTATGTGCTAGATCCCATGCCAAAGGCTCTATATGACTTTTCCTTGCTTTTTTTTTCAATTGATATAACACTGCATTATAACATTATTTTTTATAATAAATTTTATTTTTATATTCCCCATACAATTTCAACCCCCCCATTTTGACCCCAATCCCTCCCCTCCCTCATAGATTTTTGTTGATTTTGATGCATTATAACATTATTTAAGTTTCAGGTGTGCATTATTATAAATCAAGTCTATAATGTTCACTACTAAGATTCCAGGTTAGTCCTCATAATAGCCTAAATATTGCCATCATATAGGTAAGAAAACCAAGGCATTAGAGAGTTTAGAGCATAGTACAAGGACAAGCAGCTGAAAACAGGCAGACTCCAGACAGGAACTCCTCCAGTCTGTCTCCAGAGCCCTAGTTTTTAACCACTAACCACATGATGATGATAAAGGTGATGAGATGTCATGGGCAGCCAGAGAAGGTGAGTCACTCGAAGCAAGAATTTGCCACAAGTCAGAGAGAAAATGAAACTGGGAACATGGCCTGAAGCATTTACCACTATCCCGTGCAACCAGTTGGCATCTGACACAGAAATAATGCTTTGTATTCCTTCCGAACCACAGGGCTCGATCCTGAAGATAAACACTAGGGCAGGAAAGTGGTCTTTGATACAAATCACAGGGCACTGCAATTCTGAGTCCTTACCCAGAAGCTACAATGGGAATGCAATTTAATAAATCAAAGAATGGTGAGGAAAGCCATCATATGCTCCCTCCCCACTAAGATGTGATTTTGCAATAAATTCTGTTCACTGCTGAGCCAATTCAATTTACATGTCCCTAGAGAATTAAGAGAGGAATACAGAGTCATTTGAATTCCCAGAATTTTTCTAGGGTAAACTTTATTACGATTATCTAGAGAGTAATTTTTTTAACTTTCAAATTATAAGCATTAAGAAAAACAAACAATAATTAGACAAAATAAATTGCTTTCCCTCTGACACAA